GGCACAGCAAGAGTAGAGACACATTAAGTGAACTCTGCTACAGTTGGCTATTTTGCTGCTACTAGTCTATTTTCTCACTTATTTGTGTACATACAAACTCAATTTTCTTGACAGCAATGGATAGTTAGATACCAAATTATTCAATACAGTTTTACATTTGAGTTCAAGTTAACTTGACTACCAATTTCTAAAGATAACTTTCCAAAGGCCCTTGAGAAATATGATTTAAAATGCTGTATTGTTCTATGGGTAAAAATGTGATTTCAGTCAACCCTCTCTTCCTGTTCCTAGTTAAGTGATGGCAGAGATGATCTATAACCTCAGGGATCTTCCTGTGTCAGACAGATTTGACTAAGAACACTGTATTTTCTGAAGAACATCATATTTTCTCAAGCAAACTTATTTTCTGGTTTGGCTTAGTTGAAGTTAACATTCAAATGTGTTGGCTTTCCCTTGGAGAGTGAAACTTGAACTATGGTCCCTTGGAAAGTGGAATTTGAACTATGTTGGGTAGCAGGGTAAATGAACCTGGAACTGCTGTATAATGTAGCTCACTGTTCAAAAAATTGATGGCCAATATTTGCTTATAATTGAGAACAGACTGTATGAATGTGGTTTTCTAAATCCATTATATGCAAATAATTTGCATTAATCTCATTGTTCTGGATTCATTTTAAAGCACTTTCAAGATTATCTCAGTTGAACTTTTCAATAACTTAGTGAATCCTTAACATAGACCATTATAAACAATTTGAGAAAAATTTTAGTATATATAATGACCGTAAAATCAACTTTTTATGATAATGCCACTTATTCTCCTAAAGAGTTATTCTAAATGTGATACTAGTAATGCTTAGATTTACAGCACTTTTAACATTTTATGTACTCTGAGAGTTTTATAATCTGCATATATAGTTTGTCTTCAGTCTTACACTGAGCATAAAACTTACTTTAAATAAGAAGTATAATTAATTGATACGTGACCAACCAATTTGTGAGCCTATATATCTTCAGTTTCTTAACTTCAGAATCAATTATTTTCTTGATTCCCTTTTTTAGAGCTGCCTTCAACTTTTCCTCTTTGAGAAAATAACTTTAAAAAGAATCAAAAGGGTCTTGGAATTAAGGTAAGGGCCAGGGGAAAAAAGTCTCTAGGACTATGGCAAATACTGGAACCTCTGCCATGTAGTTCATAAGCAAAAATACAAGGAGGTATAAACTTAGGTTCTTCTAGTTGCCTCTCAGTCCTTTAGGGTTATTCTTCCCTTTTTATGATTGCCATGTTATATTCTCAGAGTATATTCTAAACTTTATTCATTTTTACAGACAATGTAATTTCTGATTTGTCTTTTATTGATGTCATCATTGGTATACATCCGCCTGGTGGTATTTATGAGTAACATTCTGTATCTACATTATTACTTAAGTACATGACAGTCTTTATTCTGGGTTTTACAGTCCAGGGGAAGTACTGTTCTTCATTAAACTACTCCATTTTGTAAATTTTTATATCATTGTTCTTTTATTTTAGTACTTTTTCTATTTTTTAAATTTAATCTTCCTCTATGGATCCCAGTATTTTAATGTTTATTTTTCTTCCCTATTATTAATCATCATTTACTAAGGAAAACATAGTTACTACCAGAATTTGATAACAGGTTATTCATTGTAGGAACCAGAACTTATGAACTGGAAAAAGTGGAGGGAACAAAGTTCTGTAAGCTGGAACCACAGACTGGAGAAGTAATCACTGAGGTCAGCTGGAAGTCAGATTTAATAAAGAAGCCCAGGAAGGCATTATGTCTGCCTGCCATAACCATAGGGTGAGGGTGCATAGAGAAGTCTGATAAGCCATGCATCTGACTGTCACAGGAAAAAGGGCCTTTTTTTCACTGATTTCTTCTAAATTTTGTGAATTTCTCTGACTGGCAATCCAACCCTAAACCATACAGGGAAGGCTATCCTGGGAAATGTAGTTCCCAGCCTTAGAAGGGGTTTGTGGAGGTGCCACGTTTACATCAGACAATCCAGCTTTCAGAAAAAACAACATAGGCAACATACAAACACGAAACAAATGAGAAATGTACAAGTATTTTCTTATTTGTTATGGGGTACATTCGTAGACATTTCTAAGGTCATCCAAATTTGTGAAATACCAATTATGATTTTAATCTGTATTCTGCATATTTGTAATAATCAATTAGATAATATCCAGTTGTTTACAATATATTCCTATACTTTAATGTGATTTGAAGAATTAATAATTGATAATTCAATATCAAGACCCAAATTCAGTGGTAATAGATAAGACACATGTTTATTATTATATTTAAATGAATGCTAATATTATATTTATTATATTATAAGAAGGCTGCCTTCAATTCTTTTAATAGTGATGCTAAGTTCTGCAAGTACTCAAAGTATGCAATATTGCTTTTAATTTACTCTCTGTGACCAGTGAAATATATAAGGAGACATTTTAAACTCTTTTATTTGAATATTCCTACCATACTCAAGTCAGGGAACCAATACAAGATATGAGAGTTCTTCCAGATGGTGGTATATACATTCCAATTATTCAAGGACAAGAGGAATAACACCATGGTTTTCTATGGACCTACTGGACCAACTGTCAGAATGACTTGAAAAACTCCATTTGTCACCTGTTATTCATAAACTCTATTCTAGCAAGACAACTGTGAATGGGACTTTTGTTTGCTGTTGAATTGACTGGTTTTTGTTTGTAGCTTTGTTTGGTTCCATTCTGTCTGTTGGCTCATGACAGTCTAGCAATCCTAAAAATCTTCAGTCATCCATTCTTCCCACTTTACTATTCCCCTAGGAAATGTCTGTGCTCACTGCGGAAAACTGGAGGAATAGTTCTTGCATAAATACTTGTGCGGCACAGTGGGGTCCTCCCTCAAGTGTTGCAGGCTTTCTTTCAATCAATCAGTGGGCCTTGCTCTATAAACTGATTTAAGTATTCAAAAGAGTGGAAACCTATAATTATTCACTGCAGGACTGTCAACTCTCTTCCTGCCAGACCTTGACTATTTTGTTACACAAATGGAAGGATATTCTTGCCAGATGTCTGTCTGTCAGACTCCTAGGAACATGATGATTGATTAATCATCAGCATTATTCCCTGTAAGTAATTATGCCTTCCTTGCATCTCATAGCTATGTTCTGTTCTTTGGGCTATGCCCTCCTGGAATCCCACCATCCCTATTGATATTAAATTCCCCAGTTCCATGGCAGTGCTTCCTATTGCCACTGGACTGCAGAGGTCAGTCATCATTGATATTCTTAAAGGTCAGATGGCTCCCTCATCAAGGCATTCCCTACTACCTTAATAATTTTTTTTTTTTTTTTGAGACGGAGTTTCGCTCTTATTACCTAGGCTGGAGTGCAATGGCGCGATCTCGGCTCACCGCAACCTCCGCCTCCTAGGTTCAGGCAATTCTCCTGCCTCAGCCTCCTGAGTAGCTGGGATTACAGGCATGCGCCACCTTGCCCAGCTAATTTTTTGTATTTTAGGTAGAGATGCGGTTTCACCATGTTGAGCAGGATGGTCTCAATCTCTTGACCTCGTGATCCACCCGCCTCAGCCTCCCAAAGTGCTGGGATTACAGCGTGAGCCACCCTGCCCGGCCCTTACCTTAATAATTTTTAAGCATCTTCTGTATCTAATGGACCTACAGATAGAAACATTGGTTGTATTTAGGTATTACAGAGTAGATTCATTATTAATGTACACAGCTACTAAATCTGAGACTATCTTCAATACAATGTCAAAGAATTTATATCATCTCTACATCATTTGCTCCAGGTTAATATTCCCAGGTTTCAAGAAGTGATTCCAGAAAATTATGTCCAGTTACAGATATTTTTGCTAATTTCAATCCTAAGTCATAGGTGAATACCTTCATGTGGATGATTTTTTTTATATTTAATTTCTACATTTCATATATTTTTCTAATACCTTCAGGATCCATGACTATGCATTTCCTTCTGTGTGTGCTAGTTCATATTTTCCAGTTTTCCTCTTTCTTGGACATTTAAAGAATTGTTTTTAAGCCTACTTGGGATGTGCTGAAACCTGATTCTAGTTAGCTGGAGAGAATAGGTGACAGTGAAGTGCAGGAGAAGAGCAACATTTTATTTGATACCTACTTCAAAAGAGGTTTTGGATGGTCTACAGACAAAGAGGGGGCTGTGATGAGGGGTAAGGAACTGCCTCTGCCGGCCATGAGGGGTAAGAGGAACTTGGAGATTCCATAGTATTCAGCTCCTTTCTAATCAGTTTTTCTATTATGATCCTGGCATTGACATCAGAGACTTTTGGATACTTCTGATTTCATATCCACTGAGGATCTGACACCCTTATGACCATAATCTCGAGTTGAGTTTAAGCATTGTCTGCTTTGTGGCTGCAGCATAGTAGAATCTCCTTTAAACTGCAGAGCATCTCTTGCTTTCACAGCATCTCTTATGCGGCTGCATCGATCCTATTATTTTATTTGGCAAGATCTCTATGTCATTAAAGTAGACCGCTGAAATTACAACCTTCAGAACCGAAGACAGTAGTAACAAGGTCCCTTTGTTGGTCCCAGATCATGGAGACAGGCAAAACTGAGATATGTTGAGAGGCATCTAAACTTGCTTCGTTCATTATCTGTTTTGGAAATCTCCTTATTTTCATTTTTAAATCCTTTTACTGTCTATATTTCTGCAAATCATTAAATTATTTTTTCAACCAAACAGGACATATAACCCAAATTCAAGATGTCTTGCATTTGCGGTAGTTTTTGAACTAATCAACATCTGAGCTATGCACAACTTATTTCTTTTAGCTGAGAACACTTAAAATCTATTCTGAGCAATTTTCAAGACTACATTACATTGATATTAACCAGAGTCACCATATTGTACAATAGATTTCATGTATTTATTCCTCCTGTCTAACTTAAATTTTGTATCCTTTGACCAATATCTTTCAGACTCCTCTCACCAGATGTCTTGAATTTGGAGAAAATTAATTACGAATTACATTTAGAACATGTTGGTTGAAGATACCTGATGTTGAAAATCAGAGTAAAAGGTATGAATTTAAGGGTTACAAATTGTGATGTGGGTGTGCAACAGATAGCATAGAAAGAGAAGGGAAGACTTTCAAGGGCTGAGAGTCTATCTTTTACTGAACACAGAAGTATGGATTTGACAAAGGGCTTCTCATCCAACTTTCATCACTTTTCCCATTAACGAAACCTAACAGTAAAAGAGAAGAAGCAATTTTTCAAGCTATGTAGACCTGAAGATTAGAAATGAAACTAACATTTAACTAGCAGTTAAGGAAACACTTCCACAAATATTATTTAATTCTTACCACGGCCCTAAAAGATAAGTATTAGTGTAGTCAGTAACATGAATTTCCTCTCAAAATTTCCTTTCCAACTGCCTTTTAGATGGAGAGTTTGGAAATTTAAAAACTAACTTTCAGGATTTCCTTAATCTGGACTGTTGTATATAAATTAACTTTCACAAATTAGTTATACTGATGTGAGATGAAAAGGTCATAAATGTGATGGAGTTCGTTCTCTAGGTGATATGGTTGCTGGCTAGCACAAATGTAGGGATCTGGACATTTGGAGATAACTATAGTGACTGGCCTCATTGATTCAGGGCCTGGTGAGTGACTGGGGGTGTGAGAGGTAGCTGTGGCAATTTTCGGACCTCAGATTTGTAGCTCTCTTGGACATAGCCTAGAAATAAATAGTTAAATCAGTTCTTTCACATTCTACAATTTTGCTTTTCCAATTATTCTGTACACTCTCTCTTAAATACCTTCTGCTTGAATATTGACATATTTCTTATTTAGTTTAACTTTTTTCTATATTAGAATAATTGTAGACACATGGAATGGTAAGAAATAATACAAAGCAAGACTTTGTAACTTTTATAAAAAGCCCCTCCATGATGGTAATACCTTACAAAATTTTAGTATAATATCTCAACTAGAATATTAAAATTGAAACAGTCAATATACTGGACATTTCCATCATCACAAGGATCCCTCATTTTGCTTTTTTATAATTATGCCCAATCCTCTATCACTCCATTTCTTAATCCCTGACAACCACTAATGTGTTCTATAAGTTTTTCACTTCAGGAAGGTTATCGTATTCATTGGCTAGGGCTGCCATACAAAGTACCACAATCTGGTTTAAACAACAGAAATTTATGCCCTCATAGTTCTAGAGGCTAGAAATGCAAGCTCAAGAGGTTGGCAGGGTGGTTTTTTCCTGAAGCTTTCTCTTTGATTGTTAGATGCCTGTCTTCTCCTGGTGTCTTCACATATTCTTGCCACTGTATGCGTGTGCATCCTAATCACCTCTTAATTTTAAAGGGACTGACCTCTTATTACCTTAGTTATCTCTTTTAAGACCCCATGTCCAAATATATAGTTACATTCTGAGGTACTAGGATTAAGGATTAAGCATACAAAATTCGCAGAAACATATTAAGCCTCTAACAGTTTATAAGTGAAATCATTTAGTATGAAACCTTTGGGGGATTAACTGGTTTTCACTCACCATAATTCTCTGAAGATTCATTGAGCTCGTTGTACCAATAGTTTATTCTTTTTGGGGCTCAGCAGTATTCCACAATAAAGTTATCCAAGTTTCTTTAACAATTCACTCTTTGAAGATCATCTGGGTCCTTTCTAGTTTTGAACTGTTCTGAATAAAACTAACAAACATTCATATACATGCTTTTGTATGAATGTAAGTTTTCTCCTGTGGAAAACTGCTCAAGAGTACAATTGCTGGATTATATGGTAGTTCTATGTGAGGTTTTTAAGAAAATTTCAAAATGTTTCCTAGAGTAATTGAACCATTTATATTCTTATAAGTAATTTAGGAGTGATCTAGTTTTTCTGTGTCCTCACCAGCACTCGGTGTTGTCACTTTTTCCTTTGCCATTCTGATAGATGTGTAGTAATATTTACTGTGATTTACATTTGCTTTTCCCCAATGGCTAATGACGTTGAACAGCTTTTCACGTACTTATTTTCCATTTGTAAATGCTTTTTGGTGAAATGGCTCTGCCTGTGATTGCTCATTTTCTAATCAGATTGTTTATTTCTTTACTGTTAAGTTTTATGAGTTTTTATAAATTCTAGATACTTGTTCTTTGTTAGATATATAGTTTTAAAATACTTTCTCTGAGTCTGTAGCTTGTCTTTTCATCCTCTTAGCAGCATTTTGCAGACTAAAACTTTTCATTTCAATAATTTCCAACATACCAGTTTTTCCTCTCACAATCATGCTTTTGGTGTCAAATCTAAGAGTTCTTTGCCTAACTCTACGTTCTGAAGATGTTCTTCATGCAACTCTTCTGTTTCTAAAAATCTTATAATTTCCTTTTTACATTGAAGTTTGTAATCTATTATGTGTTAATTTTTGTGTACAGTGTGAGATTTGATTTTTTTGGCCTATGAATTTGTGTCCAATTGTTTCACTCTTACTTGTTGAAAGAGTTACGTTTCTTCATTGTATTGCTTTCACACCTTGTCAAAAATCAGTTAGGTATATTTGTGTGGATCTGATTTTTGGTTCTCTATTATGTTCTGTTGATCTATACAATTATTCTTCTACCACAATCACAGTCTTAATTATTATACCTATATGTTAAATCTTGAAACCAGAGAAACAGATTCATTCCATTTTATTCTTCGTTTCAAAATTGTTTTAGTTATTCTAATTCCTCTTTTTATATAAGCTTTAGAATGATCTTATCTATATCTACAAAAAAATAGAATGTTGGTAAGAATTTTTTATGGTTATATATTAACTAGGCAAAAATTCATACTTGTTATGTTGAGCCTTATAGCCCTTTTGAATCAGTGATTTTTATTTTCAGGATACAGTTACTATAAATGTTAAACTGTAAGTTATAAATGATATTGTATTTTTAATTTTGGTATCCACATTTGTTGCTACTAGATAGAAATGTAATTGATTAGCTCTAAACATTTTTTTAGATTGATTTTGAATTTTTACGTTGACAAACATGTCATTTGCAAATAAAGAGAGTTTAATTTTTCCTTTCTAATTTGCATGACCTTAATTTTTATTTCTTGCCTTAATCCACTAGCTACAATTTCCACTGCTTGTTGCCTTGTTACAGATCTTAGAAGGGTATGTTGCAAACTTTCACCACTGAAGGAGAATGTTAAATGTAGGATTTCTGTAGATGCTGCTTACCAAACTGAGGATTTTTCTATATCAATTGATATGATTTAAAAAAATTAATTAATGTGAGGGACTATATTAATTATCAAATATTGACCTTGTTTTGCATCCCTGGAATGAACATCACTTGGCTACGGTGTATAACGTTTTTATATTGTCAAATTGTATGTGCTAACAGTTATAGTAGTTTGTGTAGTTCAAGAAAGGGCCCACTTTATCTATTTTGTCCAATTTATGTGTATAAAGTTTTTCATATCTTCTTGATGTCTGCAGGAATTATAGTGATACACTCTTTTTCATTCATGATATTGGTATTTGGTGTTCTTTCTCTCTGTGTCTTGCTACTTATTTATCAGTTTTATTGATCTTTTGCAAACAACCAGATCTTTGATTTTCACTTTTTTAAAAATCTGTTTTATTTCTACTCTTTATTATTTCTCCTGTTCTACTTGGTTTGGGTTTATTTTGCTCTTCTTCTTCTAGATACTTGAGGTAGGAACTTAGAATATTTCCTATGGCATTTAATGCCATACATTTTTTACTCAACACTACTTGAGATGTGTTCCACAAATGTTGATAAATTTTCCTTTATATTCAGTACAATGCATTTTTATATCTGACTGAAATATAGTCTTTGAGTTATTTAGGAGTGTATTATTTAACTAAAATGTTCATTAAACCAGTATATTAATCTCCAGCTACTATGCCTTAGATGAAACAATGGATTTGACTATGGAACATCAAGTAATTAAGCAGCTAGAGTTGTCATCCTATGGGTAACAGACTAACTTGTAAATTATGAACAGGTGTTCTACATTCCTTTGATACTTACCTCTTTTGCACTGATGATTCTATGTTGCTTCACATCTGTACTCTCATAGGGGGTCTCCCTACAACCTAATTATATTGAAGAAAAATGCTCAGGCACAGTTTACAGAAATGTAAGCATGATATGATTATACGAACTGGAGTGAATTTGTTACTCATAGTTCCACTAAAGGGTGATTTTCTTAAAAACAAGGGTAAGAAAAATCCTTCCAGTGAATAGATCTATGAATGGTGCTCTTTAACATTCACTTTATATGGAATGAGAAACAGTCATAGATAAAGATATACCCTTACTCCTGGGAAATAATATCTTGGATATTTGGTTAGGCATCTGAGAAAAAATCTGAAATATTAAAGGAAAGTAGGCCAAGAGACTAGCAGCCCAAGAGCAGACATACTTGGGGAAATTGACTTTGGCTAGGGATGCCTGCAATTATACCTACACCATGGGGGAAGACAAGAATAGATCTGGAACCTAAGTGATTCACTAGTCTGTCTTTTGGTATTTCCATGACCAATAAAAATAAATTGTGAATAGATATTGGTACAACTAAGAAATCATACTTCTTTGAGTTTGAATTTAATATGTGGGCCACTCCAGAGAGCAAGCAAACCAGATGAGAGAAGATGATGGCTAAGGATGAAGGAATTTTTATTTTATTCTTTTAAATTTATTTATTATATTTCACATTCTGAGGTACATACACAGAACGTGCAGGTTTGTTAAGTAGGTATACATGTGCCCTGGTGGTTTGCTGCATCCATCACTTTGTCATCTACATTAGGTATTTCTCCTAATGATATCCCTCCCGAATCCTCCCACCCACCAAGAGACCTTAGTGTGTGATGTTCCCCTCCCTGTATACGTGGGTTTTAAATGTTCACCCACTTATGAGTGAGACAATGTGGTGTTTGTTGTTTTTTTTCTTGTGTCATTTTGCTGAGAATGATGGTTTCCAGCTTCATCCATGTCCCTGCAAAGGACATGTAGTCATCCTTTTTTATGGCTACATAGTAT